CTGTAGGCCCTGTCAGAAGGAAGCTTCCAGGCAAGAGCCTGGAAGTTTCCCTGTAGGGAAACAGGCTGGGGCCTGTAGGCCCTGTCAGAAGGAAAGTCCAGGCAAGAGCCTGGAAGTTTCCCTGTAGGGAAACAGGCTGGAGGTCCGGGACGGGCTCTGCAGGGCCCGTGTGGCTGCACAGTATGCCACACCCCCCCCTCCTTGAAAGACCGAGCTTACCTACGAGGGCGAAGCTGTCTGTCTGAGGGAGGGACCACAGTCCGGGTGGGAGGGGCAGGTCGTGGAGGTCCCTTGGCCAACCTCTGTCGCTCGTAGTGAGCGTAGATCAGCGGTGCAGACGCTTTCAAATCTGCTCCTGAAATCCACCGAGTGTCGTCGGGATCGCATGCTCTGAATGTAACTTTGTACTGGCGCGGCTTGTTGCCATACTTGCGATCTGAGATGACGCGGTCAACCTCCTGATGACCATCCATAGAAGGAGGGTCCTACGATCGTCGGCCTGGGAAGTCATCGCTCTTAGCTGGTGTATATGTTGCCAGCTTTGACGCATGAAAGACTGGATGGACCGTCGAATGCTCAGGAATGTCGATCACAAATGAAGGGCCATCGGGCTCATCACCCGCGGCTGATGTCACTGTCCATGGTCCAAACCACTTAGGGAGTAGTTTGCGTGAGACATCCTGTTCCAATGCAAACTCTTCCAAGGAGACCCAAACTCGATCTCCGGCGCGGATGGGACATGGTACGCGGCGCCTGTTGGCTTGCTGCTGCATGCGGACTTGAGCCTTTTGCATGTTTGTGCGGGCTTGAGCTAGCAATTCCCTGTACTTTCGGACGGAAGCGGGAGAGCAAGCGGCGTCAATGTCGGCTGGTCGAGGGAGGAGAAGATCAGCGAAGATACGGCTTTTCCGTCCACCGTGGTGCAACTCGAATGGAGTCACACCGATCGTCGGGTGCACTGAAGTGTTGTAGGCGAACTCGATGTCGGGGAGGCGGTCAACCCAATCTTTCTGGTCCGGATGGATGAGCGTACGAAGCATCATTTGAGCGGTCTGATGTGCCCGCTCCGCTTGCCCGTCTGTCTGTGGATGCCGAGCCAAACTGGGTTTCATCGTCGTGCCGGACTCCTGCATGAGAGAGGTTCAAAAAGTCGACATGAAACGAGTGTCGCGGTCGCTGACTATGTCCTCGGGTACGCCGTGGCCACAAATCCAACCGGTGTGCAAGAGGCGTGCCAGCTCGGGAGCCGTGGAGTAGTACTTGCAAGGAAGAAAACGTGCGTACTTGCTCAATCGGTCCACAACCGTGAGGATGCCGTTGTGCCCGAGCCGGTCTCGAGGAAACGGACTGGTGACATCAATAGCAATGAAGATACCAGGTTCCCGGGGGATAGGCATCGGGCGTAACTCGCCATAGGGATTGCGGTTGCGGGGTTTGCTGCATCGGCAAACTTCGCAAGAATCTCAATACCGCATGACATCGGAAATGAGGTCGGGTCATCGGAATCATTGTCGAAGCCGTGCAATCGTGCGATTGACTCCGAAATGGCCGGCGAGTCGCGAATCATGATACTCGCCGAGAAGGCGAGTACGAAGACGGCAGTCGCGTGGAACACACAGTAAGTCCTTGCCTCTCGAATGGAGGAGCAAGTACCCGTCGGCAATGCGATAGTGGCTGGCCGGCGGGTGATCCGATGATAGCTGCGCATACAACGTAGCAAACTCTGGGTCAGACTGATAGCCCCTGATGAAGTGTCGCTGGAGGTCCTCGTCGAACGCGAAGGCGTGATGCGTCATAGCGCAAAGATCAGGTCGTCGCGAAAGTGCATCTGCTGCGCGATTGGAGAGGCCGTCAACGTGTTTCGGTGTGAAGTCAAACTGGTCGATGAAGTACATCCACCGTCCAATCGTGCTGCTCACCGTGTCCTGCGTCTTGTAGTAGGTCAATGGGTTATTGTCCGTGACCCATGTGAACCTACGACGCCCAAGAAGGAAGTGCCGCCATCGCTTGAGAGCCATGACGAACGCAAGCAGCTCCTTCTTCTTTGCATCATCCAGAGAATTGATGGGAGGCACTTTGTGGCTGAAATACTCCACAGGGTGCCAATCCTCGCCATCGTGCTGCTCCAAGACTGCCCCAATGCCGTAACCGGAAGCGTCAGTTGTCACTCTCGTAGGCAGAGTGGGGTCGTAGATGCTAAGGACGGGTGCCATGAGCATGACCGTCTTGAGTGCTTGGAAAGCCTGGCGCGCGTCGTCATCGAATACGAATGACACCTTTGGCGATTGTAGTCTCGTCAGAGGTGCGGCAATCCTTGAGTATCCGGTGATGAAACGCTGATAATAGCCTGCCAACCCCATGAATGAACGAACGTCCGTGGTGTTGGTGGGCTCGGGCCATACGCGGATGGCCTCGATCTTGTCCGCAAGCAGACGGATGCCTTGCGGCGTCACATAGTGTCCCAAGTACTCCAGCTCTTGCCGCGCGAATTCCATTTGTCGCGGTTGGCCTTGTACTTGGCCTGTCGTAGCCGTTCCAGAACGGTGCGCAGGTGCTCCACATGCTCGTCCAAACTCCGACTGTACACCAAGATGTCGTCGAGGTAGATGAGTACGAAACGATCCAACATATGTCGAAACTCCAATGTCATAGCCGCCTGGAATGTGGCTCGAGCATTCGTAAGGCCAAACGGCATGACCAGCCATTCGAAATGCCCATATCGCGTTTTAAACGCGGTCTTGTATCGGTCCTCCGGGCGAATCTCAAGTWGGTGATAACCCGACTTGAGGTCCAACTTGGAGAAGAACTTGGCGCCGCCCAGTCGCTCCAGGAGATCGTCGATGCGTAGGAGAGGGCCGACGTTCTTGACCGTCTGCGCGTTGAGCTTACGATAGTCGATGCACAACCGCAAATCCTTGTTCTTCTTCCAAACGAAGAGAACAGGCGCACCGTATGGCGAAGAGCTAGGTCGAATCCAGCCTTTCTCCAGAAGGTCGTCGAGTTATGCCCGTAGCACACTTAACTCTTCCTCGCTTATTCGGTAGATGCAACCACGCGGAGGTACAGCCCCGTCCTCGAGGATGATCTCGTGGCGGATGGACCGATCCGGTACTACTCCGTGCGGGGCCTCGAACACGTCACTATAAGTGGCGAGAAGCTCAGTGATGCGTGGGTCCGATGATGCGTCCGTCAATGGGGTATCCTGGGGCGGGAGGGCGTGGAGAAAACACACCCCCATCTCCTGAATGTCATCCTTGATGATGAAACCTCGAATACTTGCGGCAGACACCACGTGATAGCTGATCGAAGGGTGAGGAGGAGGCACCGTGCATGGGACTAGAACTCCATCCCGGTCACGAACGTGAACGGTGCGGCGGTAGAAGTTCACCGGGTGGTCCTCACTTCGCAGCCATGACATGCCAAAAATCATGTCGAACTTAGTGTCCAGAATGTCGAAGGACACGGCCTCGCGTGCATGCGGGGCGAAATACACAGGGACGTTATCAATGCACCGGTCAATTGACTTGTGCGTGTGACCATCGGCCAACGTCACGTGTGTCGGATGGGACTTCCTCCTGATGCGTGGGCCAAGGCCGACGCGTACCATGAAGTCCTGACTCATGTAGTTGCGAGTTGCACCGCAATCGATCAAGGCGCTGCAGGTCGCCTCCCTGATCTGAATGCGTACATACAACAATGGTGCGTCAATGTCGTTGTACCGTTGTGTCTTGAACTCGCGGTCGATCTTCGCGATGTACTCCTGAAGGTCGACAACCTCTACTCCGGCGTCCATCAACGGAGTTGGTACTACAGTGTGCAAATACTCCCGCAATTGTGCCATGAGCACATTGCAATGCGGTTTCGACAATCGACCGGTCGGGGGAAAGCATCCACTAGAAGTCCGCGACTGTCAACGGGTCGAGCTCTTCAAGTCTTGACCACATCGACGAATCCCCTGAGGTAAATGATGGCGGAACTGCCGAATCGGTTGCCGATGGAGATGAAACCGTGCATGCGGTGGAGTGTTGCACGTGGAGTGGTTGGTCCAGCGGTGGGACCAAGTGGACAGCATAGTCCTCGTAAGTGACACGAGAACTTGCGACATTCGCATCCTCCCCAGATGTGTAGGAGGCCGCTAGCAAGGCGGCCGTATCTGGCGGAGTGGGAGGTGGAGTCGCCTCACCTCCCGCGCTACTCAGTTTCCCGAGTTGTTGCGAGGCCGAACATCCTCCTTCTCCTTGTCCTGGCAGAGGGAGGTCTTGTGCTTAATGCTATTGCGCCAGTAGCAGCAGCCGTACCGACCACGGTACTTGTATTCGGCCTCGGTCAAGTTAAACTTGACCCATGGTGCTTGCTGTCCTGTTCCAGCCGATGATGCGGTCTTTGCCTTCCCATTGTTCCGGGACTTGTTGGTGCTTCTCGGCTGGACAGCAGCCACCTGATCTCCTTCACTTGATGCCTTGGTGGCTTCCGGGTCGTCTCCACTGTCCGATTGGACTGCAGCGAAATGCTACTGCCGCAGACCAGTCTTTACCTTCTCTACATAGGTTGGCTGCCATGCTGATTTCTCGTGTGCAGCTGCCTATCAGTCTTGATGATCTCCCTCGCTTTGTCGATGATCTCAGCGAAGGTTCAGTACTGCTCGTGATCATCAAGTGCCTGGCTCAGTGCAGCACATGACCTATTGTAGAACTCTCGGCGCAGATGCGTAAATGGCAAGTCCAGATCCGACGTTGCCGCGATCTTTTGCCATTCCGTGAGCCAGTCTCGTGTTGCCGTGTTGCCTTGGGTCATGGTGAAGAGGCGGTTGATGGCGAAGGCAGGTGCGTCGTCGACGATGAACCTCTTCTTCCACAACCGTGTCAACTCCTCCCATGTGATCTTGTCTCGAAGATCTCCCATGTCGACGCCGTGAGTGGCTGCCAGATGGGTCAACCAAGTCTGGCATGCGCCCTTTGAGTTAAGGAAAAGGACACCGATGTATGCGTGTTTGGCGACTGGCAGGATCCGAAGCTGCGTCGTGAATGCTTCCCACCAGAGGACCGGATCCTGATGCGTGTAGTCGTCGAACTTCTCGAGTTGGAAGGTTGGCATCTTGTACAACTTAGGATTGTCCTCCGAGTTCGTCGACTGCAGCTGCTGGACCTCGGTCTTCAAGGTGTGCAGCTGACTACTGATGGTGGTAGGTGCAGCGAAAACACTGATGTCGCCGAGCATCGCCACTACGTGGTCAACGCGTTCCTCCAGTTGGCGGCTAGAGGGTTCACTGCTGGACGTACCAGCATCTGGTCCTGGTACAAACTGTTCCAGGTCCAGTACATGTGCATTGAGTGCCCGTGTTGCATCCTCGTGGCCCTGCACTATTCGGCGGAGGTCTGTCAACTCTTGGTGCTGTTTCTCTAGTTCGGCCCGTTGGTAGTTGCAAGTATACAACAGGCGTGACACGAGTTTGGAGAGAAACTCCTTGTGTTGCTCTTCCAGTGTCGGATCGTCGCCGTTTGGTTCAAAGTGCCAGTACTTGAGCCTTTCGATGCTGGCTGCTTCATGGCGCTGCAGCAGCTCCTGGGCTTCCTTTCGGCGTGCCCTGGTGTGTGCCTCGGCTTCGGCCTGAAGCCGCAGCCTTTCAGCTGCCGCTGCCGCCTCAGCCTGTAGGCGGGCTGCCTCGGCTGCCGCCTGGCGCTGTTCCTCGACCTGAATGAGCGCGAGCTGAGCCTGGACCCGCTGTCGGTACTCGGTGATGGACTCGTTGGCCAGTTGGCCTGGTAAGCCCAGCGCTGGTCCCGTCATGGTTGCTGACCTGGCACTGCTGACGTGCACTGCTGACGTGGCACTGCTGACGTG